TGAATTTTAAGTGCATTTCCCCCACTTTTTCCTAGTTCTTACCTGCTAGGATAGTGCTATGAGAGCCAGGTCAGTTGTTTTATGTGAGGAGGTGAGGTTTGCTCTGTGTTTGGCTTGTTTAATTCTTACCAGTTTTTTTCTGGGACTTGTCGCCTCTGAATCTGTATAGCAAGGTATTGGGTGGACGATTAACGTAAGGTTTCTGGTTGGAGTAGACAAAAGTACTTTCAGGCAGTTAGGCTTGTGAATGATCCATTGATTACCAAATAAAATTTTAGTCCAGTTCTATAAAATTTGTAGTTAGTTAAAGTGTTTCCTGTTTTTAGGGGAAAAGGACTATCCTTACTCAGCCTTTTCATGAGCTTGTATCTTTTTGTATTTTTTCATGGGTATTTTATTTTTAATTCTTTAAAAAATTTCCCACTCATACAGAGGCAGACAGAATAATGACCTCCTGTATGCTCATCTCCCAGTTTCAATCATTTTCAACTCATGGCCAGTCTTGTTTCATCTGTATCTCTCACCTATTTATTGACATATGGATATGTACAGAAAAGTGCACAAGTAAAAAGTGTATACAAAAGAAAAAGCGTATCCTCACATAATTAATTTGACACAAACCTCTGGCATTATATTATTTCATCCATAGATATTGTGATGTGTATCTCATAATAACAATTTTTTAATGGAAAAAATACCATTATCTACTAAAAACAATTTTTAATATCGCAAAACATCCACTGACTGTTCAAATTTCTAATTGTCTCAGTTTGTTTCAATCAGGAGACAAATAAGTCCATACATTATTATTGGTTAATATGTCTTTACATTCTTTTCAGCGCAGGTTCCTCCTGAATTTGTCTTGCCTTGTTTCCCATCTCAATTTTCTTATTGAAGAAAGTGGGTAGTAGAGTTTCCCACAATGTAGATTTTGTCGATTGCATCCTTATGGATTGTTAGCATGTCTCTGTCTTTTATATTTATGGTATATTGGTTATTGGATCTTGGAGATCGTGGGTATTTTAGTGAGATACTGGGAAAGGTTGTTTCAGGGGCTGGAAGCAAGGTCAACCTCTCACCCCAGGTGGAAGTCCTCTTTATAATACCCTTGTCTGAGTATTACCTGGAATTTGCTTGAACTCCTGTGGAGATGGAGAATTCCTTTTGCACAAAGCCAGTTCAGTTAACAGATTGCTTCAAGTTCAAGCTCTAGAGTTAAATGAGTTAGTTTTCCATTACTGAAGTATTATCATTACTTGAATTTTTACAGATGAAGAAACTGAGGCATGGGGAGGTTAAGTAAGTTGCCAGGTGTCACACAGCTAGTCAGTGCTGGAGCTGGGCTTTGAACGTAGTCACGTTCTGTAGTCCAGTTCCACGTGCTTTTCTGCCTTCCTGTCAGACATCCCCTGTTCCTACTCTGGTCCTGAAGCACTTTCAACTTCAATGTAGCATTTGATTTTTGCCAATTAAGTTTGATCCTGTTAAATTCCACTGAGGTATTTTGGAATATTGAGTCTACCATTGAATATTGTTTTTGAAACATCATTAAGTGTACTTAATTTTATAAATTTATTATCCCATCTACATCTTGTCCAAAAGAGTACTTTGGAAACTTAGAATGTCATCCACATTAAGAGAGGGAGTTCCGTTTGTAAGTATCTTCTTAGTACCTGACACAGTGCTGGGCACATGTAAGTAGCTCCATGAAGACATGCTGAATGAACGAAAAGGGTACACAAAACTTTAATTACATCAGTCTAGTGGTCTTGGTTGTTCTTTCTAATAACACAGGGATTTTTGTTTGATATTTTAATGGCTAACCATAAAATTCAAGTGATTACTTATAAAGCCATTCAATAATGAAGGGGCTGTTGAATGAACACGAGATGGTGAAGTTGAGATTCGGAAATATGGTTGAAGTCCTGTCAGCCTCAGCATTTTGTTTCAGTATTTTGTTTTGATTTACAATAGCTATGAAATATTAATTCATACAGAGACACACTTGCACACATTAACTGGGTTTTTTTTGTTTAGTTTGGTTTTTTTTGGCTGTGTCGCGTCTTAGTTGTGGCACACGGGACCTTTGTTGAGGCATGCGGGATCTGTCATTGCAGTGTGCGGGCTTCTCTCCAGCTGTGGCCTGCGGGTTTTCTCTCTCTAGTTGTGGCGCGTGGGCATGGTTGCCCCACGGCATGTGGGAACTTAGTTCCCCGACCCGGGGTTGAATCCATATCCCCTGCATTGGAAAGAGGATTCTTTACCACTGGACCACCAGGGAAGTCCCCTACATTAACTGGTTTTTAAAAAGCTGTTTGTCTTGAAATCTCAGGATAGTCTTTCATTAAGCTAAACCCAAAGCTTAAAAGTAGGCAATTTTTGATTCAGAGTGAAACTCTAACAATATCTAATCACGTGTCTATTCTGAATTATGGAATCTGGACAAAAACCTGCCCTAACTTAAAACACAGGTTGCCCCTTGCTACTCACAGTGGGGCTCTCCACCCAGCAGCAATGGGCATCACCTGGGAGACTGTCACAGCTGCAGAATATCAGGACTCACTTCACACATGCAGAATCAGAATTTAAACTTTAATGAGAATGCCAAGTGATTTAAATGCACATTAAACGTTGAGAAGCGCTGTCAACTTCAGTAGTGTAGGGTGGCCGTGGGATTCTGTACTTCCAGCAAGCTCCCAGGTAATGCTGTTGCTGCTGAACCACACTTGGATTAGCAAGGTGCTATACATTTTATCACAATGAGAAGATTATACAGTTACTTGCATCTACTCTCAAGCTGTGACAAGAACACATACCCAGCAGATAGACCTGGGTTAATTGGACAGTTACTGAGCGCTAAGCAGGTGGGCTGTAATGGTGTACTTATTCCTATGTATATCTTTTCTTTACAGTTTTGGATTCTGAGATGAGGTGGCTGTTTTCTCCTACAGTTTCTATTATTTCCATTTGTAAATCATGTTTCGTTGTTTAGAATTAAGACCAAGCAGCAATCTCTCTCTTTGCTAATTTTCCCAATTAGATTTGAAATTGACAGTAAGGTTCATCCCTGAACAACTTCAATCTGACATTTGGCTTTATAAATGTTATGATATGCTCATTTTGATTTCGGTTCTTAACTTTAACTTTTAAAAACCTTTTCTTCTCTTGCAGTTGAAAACAATCCTCGAACAGGAAACCTTGGTGCACTAATTAAGGTCTTCCTGTCTAGAACCAAAGAACTAAAACTTTCAGCAGAATGTCAGAAGTAAGCTGGATGATTAAATCACACTCTCTCTATATTTAATTTATATTTAACAGTATAATTTTTCATTTATTTGTAGAAATAGGGTATGGTCTTGGAATTGTTCTCATTATTAAGGCAAAAAGAAAAAGAGGTTTTAATTTACTGTCCTGGTCATTGTAGTGAGATTATAAATTCTGGAATCCGATTTCAGCATTTTAGACAATCTTTAGAAATATATTCTTTAAGAGGATTAATTGTGTAATTATTATTAAAAAAAGGTAGTTTTCTCCCATTTCCACTGCTGGTTGTATCTAATTTAAATACAATAAGTCCCCTACATACGAACCTTTAGATTGCAAACTTTCAAAGATGCGAAAGTGTGCTTGCATGTCCAATCACGTAAGTTAGTTCACGTATCTGGCGAACATTGTCACATGTGTGCATGCTCTACAAGTGGTCGTGCTTTTGTGTACTTTACAGTACTGTATAGAGTACCGTAGTACAGTACCTTTATTTCAAGCCCAGGATGTCTGGAAGCAAGCGTAAAAGCAGTGGTGATGTAGCTGGTACTGCTAAGAAGTGCCAAGTGATAATGATGGAAACAAAAGTGAAAACAATTTTGAGAGTGGAGCAAGGCATGTGGAAAGTATTATAAACTTATTACAGTACAGTACTATTTAGCCGAGTTTGTTAGTTGGGTACCTAGCCTAGCTTTGGTTGGACTTACAAACAAATTGGACTTATGAACATGCAGTCAGAATGGAACTCGTTTGTATGTAGGGGACTTACTGTAATGACTTAGTGTATTATTTCATTCCACATTTGTTTCCTTTATTTCTTTCATATTAGGTGAACGAAGGTTTAGATTAGATATTATGGTTTTTTATTTATATAGTGGAAGATTCACCTTTTATCCACTCGAGCATTTTTTGAAACTATTTTTGGAGGGTAGTCTCTTAAAAGATTGCTCATTGCCCTGTTTCCAAATAATTTATATTGAATCCAATTAAAATTGTTGTGAGTCTATGATTATTAATACAAATACCAGGTATTGTACTGTGCAGCTGGTGATGCCCCATTTAAAATTTTGGTTGTGGGGACTTCCCTGGCGGTCCAGTGGTTAAGACTCCGAGCTTCCACTGCAGGGGGCATGGGTTCAATCGCTGGTCCGGGAATTAAGATCCCACATGCTGCAGGATGCAGCCAAAAAAAAAAAATTTTTTTTTGGTTGTGTATTTGCATATATTCTCTTTATGTTACTATAGTTTTTATGTTTTCTATTTTTAGTTTCCTTTTCTTTGAATTGCCTGTTTATGGGGCAGCTATAAAGTTAAGAACAAAGAGCAGTCATGCCTAAAGGAAAAAAAATGTAAAGTTGACTCACTATGTAAAATACACAGGATGAAATATGAGGTAAATTATAGTAGATATCGTTGGTCCAGTGTCATAAATCATGAGTCATAAAAAAAAGGTATGGACATTGTTCTAATATTACAAACAAAATGGGCAAAATGATTGAGAAATTTAAAGTTGACTTACTATGTAAAATACACAGGATGAAATATGAGGTAAATTATAGTAGATATCATTGGTCCAGTGTCATAAATCATGAGCCATAAAAAGAAAGGTATGGACATTGTTCTAATATTACAAACAAAATGGGCAGAATGATTGAGAAATCAGTGGACTAGAAATAAAGTGATTGTGCTCGTGATTAAATACTGATTCTTGTGTAATTTTGCTGTTTCCTTTCTAGCCACATCTTCATTTGGCAGACACACAATGCTTTGTTTATTATTTGCTGTTTGCTGAAAGTGTTCATTTATGAGATGTCAGAGGAAGAGTTACAACTTCATTTTACTTATGAAGAAAAATCTCCTGGCAGTTACAGTAAGTATTGCCTTTGAAGATGTTCTGGGATAATGTGTGTAACATATAAGGATAGAATTTGAAGAATTAGAAGTATAATTTTGAAAATTCTACTTTTCCTCATAATTTTTTTTTGGCCGCGCCATGTGGCACGTGGGATCTTAGTTCCCCGACCAGGGATCGAACCCGTGAACCCGGCAGTGGAAGCATGGAGTCTTAACTGGTGGACCGCTAAGGAAGTCCCAATTTTCATTTTTAAGTGACCTGACACCATCACTCTTTCTTCCCCTATATTAATTTAAATGAGCTGAGGGCTTCCCTGGTGGCGCAGTGGTTGAGAGTCCGCCTGCCGATGCAGGGGACACGGGTTCGTTCCCCGGTCTGGGAAGATCCCACATGCCGTGGAGCAGCTGGGCCCGTGAGCCATGGCCGCTGAGCCTGCACGTCCGGAGCCTGTGCTCCACAACGGGAGAGGCCACAACAGTGAGAGGCCCGCGTACCGCAAAAAAAAAAAAAAAGAGCTGAGACACTTATAATTTTTTCTTTTTTCTCTTTTTTTAAATAAGGGTGCCGGTAAGATCGAGACTTTTCTTTATTTTGACTTCTATGTGTATGGGAAATAAAAATAAAAATCACAAATATTCCTTTCAAGAAACAAATGTCAATTTAAATACCATTACTAGGCCAACACATTATTAAGGGAGACAACCAATCAGAATTACAGATTTTATAAATGTTAAAGGTTACTTTCATAGGACATAACTGTCTCTGAGTCTGGGTATCTCTGGGACTGCTTGATCAGAAATAATGTTTTTAAGTATAGTTTTATGATGCCAAAGTATATTGTCTTTTTCTGAAGATACAGAAAAAGGTTACTTTTTTCTCCTGATATTGCCGAAATTTTTTTTTTCCCCGGTAGTTAGGAGAGCCTATAGTTCTCAAGATCAACTGCTGGTGTTTCATTTCTTAGCATTAAAAGTTACAACCTGGAAAATAAAAGGGCATAATGGGATTATTAACAGTTCAAATACAGGGAATGCACTTTTGCATCTACCCTTCACGCTTGCTTCTCCCTTCCTCAAGGCAAAGGCACTGTTGCTTCTGAGTTTCCTGGGTTCATTTTTCAAAACACACCTCTGCCTTCATCAGGCTTTCTCGCCCATCTAGAGCTTTATACATTGAATATGTTTAATTTACTACCTTGATAATCAGCCTTCTATATTTGTTAAATATATACTGATGTTTCAATGGTTAGAGGTTTTAATCAGGATTGTATCTTATATGTGTTAGTTTTGTTAATGCTAGGCTTTGTTTTTGTGGTACCAATAGTGCCAAAACATAGTTCTGTTTAGTGAGTTGCATTCCTTTCCAGGAAGTTCTGTCAGCAAGAATGGAGTGAATGTTTATCCCCGTTGGGCCTGAGAGCATAGTCCAACCAGCACCTGCAAACCCAATACTTTGTTTTGCATTATGTCACAAAAATTAAGCAAATATTGTGCTTTATTTAACACAATATCATTTTTATTTTAATATAAGATCATTTTTTTCCATTACTTACCATTGAGCAAATTGATGCACTTGAGAGATACACTGTGCTTATTTGGGGGCCAAACGTCTTGCCACAGTACCCTCTCTGTACCTGCACTCCTCGCTCACATCCAGGCTCGAGAAGCATGGTTTTGTTGTACATCCCAGGTAGCCTCATGTAGAGGCAGGACAAAAACGACACTCTTCAACCATGGCCACTATCAAGATGGTCGTCTCACTGAAAGAGCTGCCTGTGAGGTTTGGTAATTGGTGATTTTGTGTGCTGACAGACTGTCCTGTTCCTTTATCTGGTTGGCAATTCAGGATTTTATACATGCTCTTTTGTTCTTTTCATTTGCAGCTGAGCTGCTGTTTGTCCACCAGCTTAAGTCCAGTGAACGTCTCCTTAAGGTTAAAGACTTGCTGTTTTTGGCATGTGTAATTATTTTCATCGTAGCCTTAGGTTGTTAGTTTGAGATTTCTACTTCTTATCACTAGTATAAGTCCTTTTTTATATTTTCTGTCAACGTCTTTTTACAGTTTGTAAAAGTGTGATAAAATTAAATGATTGCACAGGTACTGTTGAATGGTAAAAAATGGAACCTCACTCTGAAAACATCCATTTGTTAGCCAGTATATGAATATCTGACTCAGGTGTGTAAAAGACTGTTCAGGGATAGGTAAGATACAGTGGTAAGGGTTGTTTGAAGGTTGAATCGACAAAAGTAGAGGGCCATCTGCAAACAATTGAGCAAATCAACCAAGGCATTTTAGGATTGTTGGGTTATTACAGCATACTGAATTTTTTGTTTATCCCAACTCACTGTAATACTGCCATGATCAGATGGATATTGCTGCCATATTCAGTGAAGCCATCTTTACGAGGGTAGTATGACTCTTAGTCTGCTCTCAGTTTGTAATTGAAATTTGTGAGGATTTCATATTTGAACATTTTCCTGTAGGCTACATATGATGTGGTAGTAGATTGTTTGCTAGAGAGAATTTGTATCGTTATGCAAACATAGCTCTTTCCACTATTCCATGCCTTCGAGAATAGTCGAGGGGACAAAGCCAGCCCTAGGCAAAACTGTGAAGTACTACAAAATTGTTTGCATTCCCTTTGCCTTCAATGCAAGTTTTCCTTTCCTCTGCCTTGGTATTATGTCCTATTTTTGCTGATATAATAACTGATATTTATTTTACATTTTTTATGCATAAAGCCAATCTTTTAAGTCCTTAGGGGCCTAAATCTGTTGCTGGCCTCTGCAGACACTTAGGTAGCTTGTTTCCTTATGTCTTTGATGGTGCTGACTGTGAGCTTTTATTTGTTTGATCTTAACCAGAGGCCCCAAATAAGGGTAGGATTTGCATTTGCTTCTAACGGGATCCAGGGGCTGCACCATAGGCCACTTCAGTCTCCTTCAGCAGCTCTTGGCTTAATGTGGCTCTCAGGTTCAGCTTCCCAGTGGCAAGTCTGAAGACTTAGTCTCCCAGTAGCTGGCTTCATCCTCAGGGACACCCTACCCTTAGAGTTTGCTTATTGTTCAGTGTTTTACTCTGGATTCAAGCCACGGTTTGTTTGCTTGTAGTGGTGGTTCTTTTTGGTTATGGTGCTGGGGTCCTTGGAGATTTCCTTTACTTTATGGAAGCCCGTCAGTGCACTGAAGAGTGTATTTTAACCAAGAACTCGTTGTTTTGTACAAGAGGGCCCTTTGGAGTAACTGCTCCACAATACTGCTGCCAGTTATAGTTTCTTTACAGATATTTTTAATTTTTTAAATGAGGGAAGATACCTTAGGAGATTGAGAGACTGAAGATAAAAGCAAAAGCAAAAAAAAAAAAAAAAAAAGATGGGCAAGAAGCAGTAAAAAGGTCCAGGGAAGTAAGGGGCACTAGGATCTGGAGCACAGAGAGGGAACACAGGTTTGCTCTGGAAGAACGTGCCGCCTGTGTCCCAGAAGGGGCAGGTGAGGAGGAGGGGGAGGAGGAATGGCACCTGCCGAGAGCTGGGCGGAGCAAGACGTGTGGGCCTGAGGAGACTGGGAACCAGTTAGCACAGCTTTGTGCAGAGTAGAAAGAGACTAGGCACGGGCTTCCCTGGTGGCGCAGTGGTTGAGAGTCCGCCTGCCGGTGCAGGGGACACGGGTTCGTGCCCCAGTACTGGAAGATCCCACATGCCGCGGAGCGGCTGGGCCCGTGAGCCACGGCCGCTGAGCCTGCGCGTCCAGAGCCTGTACTCCACAACGGGAGAGGCCACAACAGTGAGAGGCCCGCGTACTGCAAAAAGAAAAAAAAGAGACTAGGCACTTGTCAAGTCCAGGTAAAAGGCTTACTTGACTATGTTTCCTTGGCGCAGAATAGTTCAATATATATTTATTTTTAAAAATCATTTATTTTGTAGGACTTGCTCTCAAGCATAGTAGATTAAACATACATGATCATCTGTGCTTTCTCCTGAAACCCTGATGAAAGATCAGTAAAGGGATTTTTAATAAGTTATGAATTTATTAGGTTAAAGAGAAAGAGAGGGGGACACAATGTTTTTTGGGTTTGTTTTTTTTTTAAGTCTATTGAATTTGTTACAATACTGCTTCTGTTTTATGTTTTGTATTTTTGGCCGTGAGGCATGTGGGATCTTAGCTCCCCAATCAGGGATCAAACCCTCACCCCCTGCGTTGGAAGGCAAAGTCTGAACCACTGGACCGCCAGGGAAGTCCCCACAATATTAGTAACATTTTGCAAGTTGGAAAACTGAGTAATGCTGAATTAAACTGACGAGTGAAAGCTGGGAGCTAAATGCCTTCAGGGTTGGAGAACTTCAGAGAAAAGCCAGTTCTTGCTGCAGAATCCTGGAGATGCTTAGGAATTAGAAGTGCCAGGTGTCTCTGAAGGCAGACAACCAGGGGGATTGATGGAAAGATATCTCCCCTGTCATGTACAGTCATGGGACCACCCCTTCCCCAGTTTAGTACTAAAATCTGCTCTCTGTAGAGGCTGGACCAGTGGGGCCTCCCTTAGTGAGCTCTTGGGCACAGTGGAGGCAGTGGTGTACCGAGAACAGGGTTAAGAGAAAAGGCTACAAAATGGAAGAGTGAAGCATCTTGACTTGGCTTCTAGAATGCTGGCACTGGGGTTTTACCCACCCCACTTTCTTTCCTGCCAGAAGACGAGTGGATACTCTTCTGGAGAAAATGAACCCAAAACAGGGACAGACTTATAGAAACAGACATTTAGATGCCCCTCAGTGAAGCAGCTCACAACCCACCTGTGGGAACCACCGCATGGCAGGCTGTGCCGCTTGTCTCCCTCTAGCTGGTAGATGGAGAGTCAGGGATCCCATACAGGTGAGAAAACTTATAATTTGTGAGAGACCAAAACAAACAGAAGAAAAAAATTACATGAGATGGAAATTTATGGGAAAAAAAATCCTTAATCACACCTCTTCAACACAACCAATTTCCTTTTTATTCCCCTCTGGCTTAAAACCTTTTCGA